GAGTGATAGAGAGGGGAGATGAAGTATTGCATGCGGCGTTCAAATCAGCTGTTGACATGGGAGCCAGCTGTAGCCCACAAGTGATTTATGGTCTGATTGTTCAGCTAATTAGCAAATAGAGAGCGAGTCACTCTGACAAATTATCAAGTGTCTCATGGCTTGGCATACATATAAACATATATATTATATAGTATATGCACATAATCTATCAAGCTGCGGCAATGGATGAGTAGTTGAGCAAACTGAGAATTGGAATTGTTATTTATACATTTACTATGAATTTATATGTATAGAATATAGAATATGTAGAAAGCTAGTCGCGTTTTATATCTCTATGGAACTTATTATTCCATACACAAAGTCAGTTGATTCTTAAAGCATTGCAAATAATTTCCCTCATTATTTTAGATGTTAAATGGGAGGATCTATTATTTATTTATTATTTTTAGGGTCACTCGAAGAGTTCTTAATTCATTTCTTACTCTCTAATTCATTCTGCATACAGATATTTATAAATATATCTTTTCATAGATACTTTCTAATAAAACTTCCGACTCTCTTCAACTTAACCTCAGAGTACATCGATGCATTTCAATTTAATACAACATTTCTCATTCTCCCATAACATCCGAGTATTCAAATCCATTTCAATCACATGCTGATTCTTTAACTCTTCAACTCTTCGCTGAGCTTGGTTTTATCTCTGTGAAAAGTCACTTGATTTTTTTCTAATCAGCTTCGTTTTTTCCGCTCATCTTCTTGCTTTTATCATACATGCAGCTCCAGCCACCCGACACGGGCACAGGCAATCAACCCATTTAGTTTTGTGGAGCTGAAGCAACTTTACTGGAGTTGGCAAAGGCCGCCCAACGCAATCAGCATAGACAACATGGAGTAGAAGAAGCAGCACAAGGACGATAAAAAAAATCGTTGAGCATAGCAAAAACCATAAAAATCACACCTACGAGTACGTTGTAATAAAATGTTATCAAAAGTGTTGCTGCCAGTCCGCTGCTGGCAGTCCTTGTCTAGTGCCCTCGCCGCTCCTGCTCCTGCTCCCTGCAGTGCTTTGCATATGACAGGGGCAGGCGTGGGACGAGGGGCGAGGGCCGGGAGGAAGCTGGACGTAGCGCCATTGTTAACCCTTCCTCGAGTGGAGCGCCGAGGTTCCCGCCATAAAAAATCCACAGAGCTGGTAATGTGGGCGCATCCTGTGGCTCCTGCTTGTGTTTTTTATGCCCGCTGATGTTCCATCTCTCTCCCGCTCTCTCTCTGCCTCGCTCCGTCTCGCTATATTGACAATTTCATGGCGTTCTCAGCAGCGCCTTTTGCATCGTCAGCGAAATAAACAAAAATCGAGCATTGTAAAAGCAAAGCAAAGCGAAAAAGGAGAAAAAAAAGAACGTGAAGCCAAAGACAAATACAGTGGAGCATACAACAAAACAAACATTTCGAGCGCAGGTTCGCTGACAAGACGCTGGGGTGCTGTAAAAAATAAGCAGAAACCGCTCAAAAGGATAAACCAACGTGTGTGAGTGTGTGTGTGTGTGTGCGAGCGCTCAAAGTGAAGAGGTAAAAATTTTCTGCTGACGACAAGTATCTGCTTTAAAAATGACTTGGACGTAGATTTTTATTGGTTCAGCTCCGCTCCAGACCAGAGCCGAGGGAAGCAGAAGGCAGTGGCAGGGGCAGGGGCAGGGGCAGGGACAGAGGCAGGCGTTACGGGGTTGCTTGCACTTAAAGACGGAGACGCGCTCAGCTGCTTAAGTGCAGCCGAGGCGCAACAACTAAAGGAGTGCACAAGTATTTGTAAATCTTTTGAATTCCAGCAAAAATCACACACACACACAGGCACACACAGGCACACACTCATACACAGAGAGCAAAGAGTGCAAACAGACAGACAACTCACATGCACACAGGGGTGCATTTTGCAACCCTTTTCGTCTGGGGGCAATCACAGCCAGCGACATCTATTGTTGTACAAGCGAACTACAAGCGCATGCATAGATATTTATGTTGGGATTTTCTAATTTGAATTTGTTCGACTTTGCTGCACCCGAAGCGGAAATTGTTGCAGGAAAAACGAACATTTGATGCAACCGGGGTGGCATCTCATGCCCTCATGCCCAATTGCAGTTGCCGTTGCTGCCGGAAGTGCTCAGATTTTATAGGAAACGCTGTCAAGGGTTAGGGTCTCGAGTTGAGGCGAGGTGAATACCGGCTGCCTGAGGAGATGTCTTGTAATAGGCTAATTTGTGTCGGTTTATAGCAAAGACGTTTCTAATCTAGTTAGAGTGTGGGAATGCTTTGTAATGTCTGTAAAAATATACATATATGAATAAGATCTACAGCTGAATGGGAAGAGTTCCTCATATTTATAATATTCTATATCTCAAGTTCAGCTAAAGCTATAGACTAAATGCTTAGTAGATAACTTTAAATATTAAACTTAACTCAAGCTCAGTACTTGGATCGTTTTCCATTCGTTAGCTCTGATTCTAAGTAGTTTTCCGACTCGGACTGCCAACGTCTCCAAGCGCCACTGGGACGAAGCCGAAGCGAGGCGAACGAATTGGTTAAAATAAAAAAAAAAAAAATCGCGCTACAAAGGAATTCACTTAACAAATTGCGCAAATTTATTCATTACCCGCAAAAACAACAGCAGCAGCAGCATGAGTTGCAACCGCAGCAGCAGCTGGTGCGGTGCTGCATGCGCCCAGAGGTGTGGCAGGCGGCAACAAAACGTTGCAAAATGAAATAATCCACACTTTTGGAGGCTTTATCATGCCGAGAAGCCGCAAGCCCCATAGCCAAAGTTAGCCACAGCACAGCGACTGCGACTTGGGCTGCTGCAACTCGGACGCGGACGTGGACTCGCACTCGCACTCGGCCTCGGACACAATGTCGGAGCAGAAGTCGTAGTTGGAGTCTGACTCGCGGAGTCGCCGCCACTTGCCACCGCTTGGCCCGACCCGCTTATCAGTGCGCGCATCAAAAAACTTGTGCGCAGGCCAGGCCCAGGCTCAGGCTCAGGCCCAAGTCGAGCCCCAGTAACTTCATCACCTTGCCTCATGCCACGGTGGCGATGACTGTGCGCAGAAGCAGCCGCAGCAGCAGCAGCAGCAGCAGCAGCAGCAGCAGCAGCAGCAGCCGCAACGGCGTACAAATTAAAACCTCAGCACAAGAGTTGTTTTTTTTTTTTTTCGGATGCAGATTTACGCTGCCCGATAGCCAAGGAGCGCGCCTTCATCTCCGTCTCTCTCTCCCCTGCCTCCCTCCCTCTCCTCTCGCTCTAGCCACTCGCCATTCACAGTTGCCTCTGATTCTGTGCCCAGTAGCAGTTGCGTTGTCGATACACCTCGCCAAATCGACAATAAATTCTCAGTGGCCGTGCATGAAATGATGCCCCCGTTGCAGTCGCAATGCACTGAGCTGCGCCCCGTCACCCGTCCCTCTGCTAGTCCCCTTCCCTGCTGCTTCAGCTTTGTCGTCATCGCTGGCGTCGTGTCTTTTGGTCGCGGACCTGAAAACTCCTCGTATATCGCAGCGTGGTTATCACATTTGTCTCAGTTTCGTTGCCTTCCAGTCGCCAGAGCATGGCTAATAATGGATATTATGCATCTCGCATGCGCTTTGTAACGTTTCATAGAAACGTTTAGAAGAAATGAAAGGCTCATTTATGATTTATTTTCTTTAATTGTTTTTTTTTTTTTGTTTATATATATGTATCTAAATTATTAAAATTTTTTTTGTTTTATATTTTATTTATATATTTTATTTTATTAATTATTTTAATATTTTTTTTACCATTATTTTATCGTATATCTATATTTTCTTTTCCTCGTGCTTTGTATTTAATGGTCAAATATTTTTTATATTTTTTGTAAATATATACATTAAACTAGCACAGTATGTATATTAATCATCCAAGAAGCCAATGCTCAAGTCCTGTTTACTCAAATAAATATCCATGCACTAAAATCATTATTTAATTAAATGAATGCTGACTTTTATATTCTCTCTGCAAGCTGACTTGATTTGACCTCTTTCTAGTTATATACCTCTCTTTATTTTAGATGATGTGGGTAGTATATCTTATCTAACCACTACCTATCATAGTTTACTCCAATCCAAGTAGAGTATTGCCATGTTCATACTGATCAGGAGTCGCATAGCTGCCTGCTGCATGAGGCGGCTGTTGGCTGTGGCGCATCCAATTGCTTGGCATGGCCGGTTGCGGTTGAGCCCGGTCCGCCCTCTGAAGGCACCTCGGGTTGTTGATCGTCGCTTCGATTTGCTACATTTTTATCTCCTACCGTGAATTTCGTTACCGCTCGTAGCTACTGCAGCAGCGGCAGCAGCAGCAGCTAAAGGGCAGCCCGCAACATTTCTGTTTATTTTTTGCTGTTGTACAAAATAGATATTCCGCTCTATATACATGTATATGTATATCTGCCATGCATATAGATGTATTCAATTTGGGGGGGCGCCTCGCTGGTCCAGGCTCAGTTGCGCAATGACATCATAAAAATCATTTAAATTAATTTGCAGTTGTTGTTGGCGTGGAGCGCGTCTCCATATGCTTTTATTTGTTTTTTATCTGCATTTTTATTTTTATGCGGATTTCGCTGGCTTTCTTTTGCTTTCGATTCTTTGCGCCCAATGACAAACGCGGCTGTTAATTTAACAAACGTAGCGCAAGGACTCGGCCATTACAAGGACTAAGTCCGCATCATTAAATTAAAATTGTCGCGCTCCGAAGCTCGACAACTGTTTGGGGAGGTTTTCCACTGTTTTCCATTTCCATTTGCTCAGCTTTTTTCTATGCAAAGTTTTTAGCTTTATTTTTTCTTTCTCTCTTATTTTTTTTCCTTTACGCTTTATTAACAATGCGCTTCGATTTAATGGCCGCGATTGTACAAATCGCCTTATGACAATTTAGCCAAAGCCCGGCTACAATTTTTATGGCCGCTTAATGGCTTTTACTGTTACCATTGGCAGCAGCCGCCCTGGGGGGCGGGAGTGGACGCTCGCTGACTCTGACTCCCTGGACTCTGTCCACATGCAAATCTCGGCCGGCGCATCAGCCAGCTGCTGATCCTGCTTGGGTGTTCCACTCGATCGCTGCCAGCCAAGCTGCTCGATGGCCGATTTCCGACTGAGTAATTAAGCCTTGTTTTGCAGCTTGTTGTTGCTGCTGTTGCTGCTGTTGTTGTTGTCTAGTGTCACGCCATTAAAATGAAATCACAGTTAAGGCTCAAACGTCTGTCTCGTGGCTCGTTTGGTCAGTTAGTTGGCCAAGAGCTGGCATTTTGATTTCCACGTAAGACTTCGGCTCGGACTTGGCTTTTTATTTAGCTTCTGGTTTTATTTAGTTTTTTTTTTTCTGCTTCTTGGCTTATCAGCGATGCTGGGCCAAGTTTGTTTAACGCCCAGGCGAACAAAACTCATTCGTAGAATTTGACTGAAACGCTTCACTGAAATCGATTTGGTGGCTGTTTGCCTCTTGGCTGCGCTCGGTCTCTGCACTCTGGTCTCTGGAGTGCCATTGCCATAACCATCCAAATTGTGCCTAAGTAGTGACTCCCAGACTTCCAGACTCACTGACTCGCCTTCTCGTGTGGGCCACGCACACACACGATATCGATTAGGCATACTCATACACACACACATCTATATATAAATATATTGTTTTTCTTTTTTTTTTTGAATTTCGGTTTTTTTGTGTTACGCTTTAAAATGCTTCCGCTTTCCAGTTGTTGTTGTTGTTGTTTCATTCTTTCTTTTGCATTTCTTTTGCAATTTCGCTTCAGTAAAAGTCCATTTGCCGCCCAACTCAAAACCAATCCCATTCCCAATCCCAATCCGAGTCCCATCCAAGCCAACCCTGAGCGATGCCAGTGCCAGCGCCTGTGCCGCTTTTGCCGCTGTCTGTGCACCCCTGGTGCGGTTGGTCACGTACAAGATTTTCTCGTTTATTACATTTCCCTTTAGGTTTATTGCTTCTTAGTGTCGAGCCAGCAGCAGCAGCAGCCGCCGCTGAAGAAGCTCTACAATGCCCTAGCTAGAGCCGGGCCTGGGCTCAGCCGTGCCAGCAAGCAGAAAAGCAAAAAAATGACTTGGAAGTTGACTTGGCACTGACAGCCATCGACCTGGGTTCGTCATGCCCCCGGCTCCACAGCTGAAGAACTGCCCTAGCCTCAGTCTCAGTCGCAGCCTCTGCCACGCCCCACTGGCCTTTCTGACATGTGCAGTTTTCCTTTTCAATTTCAGTTCTTCTTTCCATTTTTATTTTTGTTCACAAATTTTTCACGCTCTTCAAACGCAAAACACGCCGCAATTCATTTGCCTATGCGTCCCAAACAAGCGACGGCCTTAACTTGATGTCCAGCCAAGTGGCTGAGCAAGTGCCACACCCACTGCCGCTGCCGCCGCACGCCGCACGCATGATATATGCACTATCTGTGCGGCTCAGCAAAGCTTGACTTGACATCTCCGAGAGCGGAGTCATAAAATTGAAATTACCGGAAGTTATTATATCTTCATATATTAACTGGCATTGTCTTGCATTGTCCACAGCCATTGTCCTGTCGTCCTGTCGGACTCGCTCTCTCTCTCTCCCTCTCTCTATCTCTGTCTCTGCTTGGCCTGCCTATCGCTGTGTCGGCCTCCAGCCGTGCATCCTGTAGCGTTTAAGTTTAATTTTGTGCTTTTTCCGCTTCGCCTCATTCTTATTGTGTGTGTGCTCCGGCCATGTCCTGTGCGCTCTGCTCTGTGTGTCCTGTGGCCGTATTTCCATATTTTCAAATCAAAATTTAACAACCACAACAATGACAGCAACAAATTGAGCAGCTTAATCTCGGCCAGAGCTTAAGGAATGTGCTGTAAAATGCGCATAGCTCGTTTCTCAAGGCATTTTACGAGCGCCAGGACATTCGAGCGCCTGGCCATGCAAAGTGGGCTAAACAGCGCCGGCAATATGCACATGGCCTGCCATCCATATTCATGGTCATTGCCAGCAGAATCAAGGTGACGTCTAACAGCAAAAAAAACATCAGCAGGAGCAGCAGCAGTAGCAGAAAAAAGTATGTATGTAGTATAAAACAGCAACACGACAGGCAAAATAAAAAAGGATGCAGCAGGACAGCAGCAGCAACAGCAGCAGCAGCCAACAGGCAGCATCAGCTTGTTGCTGGTCGGGCAGCGACCTTTCCACACATGCAGAATATTAAAATCCATCTTTGGAATGCAAGCGACGTTCGCTGCCCCGTCGACGTCATCACAGCTGCCGTCTCGCTCGTTGGCGGCGGCGGCGCCATTTGGAATTTCGGTCAGGTTGGCAGCGCCAGCAAAGAGTTGAATCGAGGACAATGTGTCGTCGTCGTAGCTGTTGCTGCTGTTGCTGCTTCTGCTGTTGCTGCTGCTGCTTCCGTATGCAAAGGATGTTGCGCAGCGCCAACAAAGTTTCGCCTGCTCTGGCCAAACTGACGGGCCAAGTGAAAGTGAAATTTCAGCCGAAACCACATGCCCCACCCAACCGCCCAACCGCCCATCCGCCCGGCAGCTGCAAGTGGGTGACCAGAAGACAAACAAATGCTTTTTGGACCTGAACCCAGCCAAAGCCAATCGAGCTGCGCCCGTGGCAAATTTGTTATGCAAATGGTCGAGCGATTTAATTATCGCGCTAGACAACTGAAATATCGCCACATGAAACATAAACTGAAGCGCATTTAATTAGCGTTAATTGCTGCAATCTCTTCTCGGTCTCGGCGACAACATCGCTCCACTATTCTAGCCGAGCTGCGATCGTCGCCAGATATCCGCAGCGCGAGCAGCGACAAAATTGTTGCCCGCCGGCTAAAACTTGTTTGCCATAATTTACTTGGGCCTCTTCTAGGCCAGCCACCGGCTGCCAGTGGCCGCGTCCTTGCCCTCTCAGCGTAGATTCCTTGGCTGAATTTCGATCAATTTCGTTTGCGTTTGCCCATTTGTTAATCAAATGGCCTACAACGTTGCAAGTTGTTGTTGTTGTTGTTGTTGCCGTTGCTGATGTCGGTGTCGTTGTCGCTGCTGCTGCTGCCGCAATTGCTGCTGCAGTTGCAGTTGTTGTCGTCGTCATTTCGCTTTTCAAATTGCCTGGCAAATGCCTGCGGGAACTGTGCAGTTGCAATTGTTGCTGCTGTTGCTGTTGCTGCTGATGCTGTCTTGGCAGGTTGCAAGTTGTTGCAGTCCGGTGGTCGATTGCTCTAGTGTTTGCTGTCTGCTGAGCCTGGCAGCAGCAACAGGAAGTGCAACATTTAACTCAACAGCCAACGAAAAGTTAATTTCAATGCCTGAAACGCCTTATAAAAGGTGTGACGAAGGAGCATAAGCTCATACAAAGAGACTTTCTATGCAGCTGTAAATTTGTCATAGCTAAAGACAGTCATACCAAATATATTTGAGCAATGCTCAACTCGTGAGAATCGCCTAGAGAGGCATTGCCAATCAAGCAGTTGGCAGGCAACGCAAGCAGCTCATAAATCACACAGCAGCTAACTTAATGCAATCAGACGCAGCAACAGGAGCAACAGCAACAACAACATACTTGGCCAGACAATAACAAACAACAGAACTGGGAACTTGGCTAAGCAACTGGCAACGGGCTGCCTCTTGGCCCAGTCGAAAGCCGCTGGCAGCAGGCGAAGGCAAAGCGCAAACGAAATGCCTAAAAATCTGCATAAAAATCAAACGAAAAGGAATAATAATTTATTATAATTTTGCTGTTGTTGTTGTTCATGCTCTGCCAGCGCAGCAAATGCAACAGTTTGCTGTGTCTGTATGTGTGTGTGGCATTATTATGTTACGTTGAACTTGAACTTGAACAATTAACTTAAAGTGAAATTTCGTACGCGAGCAGAAATTGTAAAGGAGACAGCGCGAGGGCAGGGACGGGTCGAGAGGCGAGTGGCGGACGGCGGGCGGCGGGAGGCAAGAGAGATGCCGGCGACTGCGCTTTACAGGCGCGTACGTAATACGCATAATTGAATTAATTTGTATAAATGAATAGTTTAAGTGGCCGGTCGAGTGCGAGCGAGACAGCAGTAGCCAGCCAGCAACAAGCGACGTCAGCAGCGACTGCACGTGTGTGTGTGTGTACGAGTGTGTGTGTGTGGCGCGCATTTAAATTTTCATTTTCCACACGCTTTTTGCGCAGCTTTGGCAGCAACTGAAATTTGAATTTCAATTTCCTTCGTCTCTGTCGCTGCCGACGTGCATCAAAATTAAATTATGCTCAGCCTCAGTCGCAGTCGGCAGTCCGCAGTCGGCAGTCCGCAGTCGACTGAGCTGCTGACCCAGACAGCGTGCAGACAAAAATTAATAATTTCAATGAGCGAGATGGCAACACTTAATGGCGAGCGTACTACATGGCGTATAATTAACGTGTGTGCATGTGCCTTGGTTATTATGCTAGTGACGTCACATTGACTCGGCGTCGTCGCTCTGGCTGCGCTCGAATATGCAAAACCAACTAACACACACACACACACACTACATGAAATTCATTTAAAATTCTAATTTCAAGACAAATTAAATACAAAGCAAAGCTCGAAGCGTTGATTAAATGGCGCCTCCATCTGATCCGCTCTTTGGTCAATTTGAATGCTGCGTGGGTGTTATTAAAGCGTTATTTGTTGCCCATTCGAATTGCGGCTTAGCATTTAGCATGGGTCGTTGACCCAGCTACACTTTTTGACATGACTAATGTCCAACTTCTGTTCGGGTCAAGCAACCCAGTTCGCTGTGGGCGAACTCTATAAATAGTATGAACTAAAATAATCAAATGACCAAAGAGCAGAAAGGGAAGTCTATGCTAGGTGAAAGGGAGTGACAAGTGAAGCTAGAAAGATCAATTGTATATATATAATGGAGTTTTTCACACATGAGAACTGCTGAGAAGAGCTTTAACTCAACAATCTACCTTAGCTAGGGGCATTCGGAGTCTGTTCGCCATTTTTAGTCAGACTTG